GGCGCGTGACAAGGGGGCTGCAGAAAGAGTGATTGACAGCATACAAAGAACATTTAAAGAAATTGGTCTGGCTATAAATCCTCTAAAAAGTATGGGCATCGTTATAAATAAAGGAGAGCTGGAAACTACGGTGCTCTCCCTTGAGAATGGTGAGTACATCCAAACATTGAAGAATGGAGATACGATTAAGTATTTAGGATGTACATTCTCGGGAGAGCTGCAATTCAACGAAGATTCGGTGACTAAATTGAATGATAATCTAAACAAGCTGGTAACCTCTTGCTTACTTAAACCTGAGCAGAAACTCAACATTGTCAATCAATATCTGTTCCCGGGTCTTACTTACCCTCTCCAAACTGCGCCCCTAACAAAGCTACGTCCTGCTATACTGGAGGGCATCGACACTATGATTCGCAGGAGCGTAAAGGCCATTATTGGACTCCCTGCGAATACTTCCACAGCGATGTTGTATGCCCCCAGGAGATACCGAGGATTGGGATTAATCCGCTGCCAATGGGAGGCTCCTCTTCAACATTGGTCCATTGCTCAGCGACTGTCCAATGTACCAGATGCCCTTTTTCAGTCTACCTTCGATTATTCGGCTGAAATTGCTGAATGTGCCGAGAGATTGGGGGTTGATCAGGGTCATCGAAATGTGAAAGCTCTACGGCAGTCGCTACGAGAAAATGCATTTGAGGAATGGGCCAACTGCAGGTGGCAGGGTATTGGTGTTCGCCATTTTAAAGAGACCCCGAAAGCGAATAGATACATCTACGAAAAGCAAGTACTTTCTGGGTCTGAATGGTCGAATGCCCTAAAACTAAACATTAATTATGCACCCCTGCGTGGAGTCCCAGGAGTCAGCGGACAGGTCAGAGAAGTTGGGTCCCTCTGCCGTAAATGCGGCAGAGAGTCTGAAACACCAGCACATGTGCTGGGAAAATGCCCCAACAACTCCCTCCTCATAACACGTCGTCACCACCGGGTCAAGTTCGAATTGATGAGGCTCCTTAGGGAAAAAAATTTCGCCTGCTTTGACGAGGTATATTGCATCGATAGTGAGGGCTCTACGAGATACGCTGATATCGTCGCATTTCCCAAGACAGGAAGGACAGCGCTGATCTTGGATCCAACTGTCCGCTTTGAGAGCAATGACCTCGATCAGGCGGGTGAAGTGGAAAGGGAAAAGAAGAACACGTACGATAAATGTATCCCTTTCCTAAAAGAGAAATTCCGTGAGACCTTCGGAGAGAGAGAGTTCACCGTGAGAGGCCTCTGGTTTGGGTCTCGCGGAACTATCCCAAAAAGAACAAGGAGCTTCCTCGAGGAACTAGGTGTCGACATTAAGGACGTAGCGAGGTTGGCTGAAAATATAGTCCTCGACTCCCTGGGAATCATTCACCACCACGTGCATGGCTAGCCCGAGAGTTTTAATTTATGTATTTGTTTATTTATTTATTTAGTGAATAATTGAAAACAATAGCGATAAAGAGAGAGAAGTGAGAGAAAGGGAAACTTAATGTTAAATAAAAAAAAAAAAAAAGCATGAACAATGAGAAGAAGGAAAAAGGAAAAAAAAAAAAAAAAATTATAAAGATAAATAAAATAATAAAAATGTATATATATATATATATTTCTGTTTTACTAATATTAACTAATACTTCTGTATATTTATATATAAGTTCATATATTGTCTTAAGGATAGAAGAGTATGCTGTGTGTATAGCAACCCAATGTAATTGGGCAGCAATCCTTTATATTTTATATTTTATGAAAATAAAGTGTTTCTCTCTTCTTGTTATGACATACAATATTCGTTACATGATGAGGGGTTGAACGTCTAATATACGATGTATAATTTGAGTTTAAATGATTTATTGCAGTATTTTTTATAGTTTCTCTTGCATTGATGGTTGGCATTGTATTGTATGCATTGCATTGTATTGCCTAGAAAAGTCGTTAAGGATCTCAGTGCTGAATAAAATCGGAATCAAACTCAAAAGGAATTACTTAGAAGTCAAACAGGGCACAGTTTTATATTATAGGTTTTACGAATCCTCTGTAAAATATATAGAAATGGACTGTGACGGTTTTAAAAGTAATCACCTCTTATGTAGCCGATATTAAAAAAAAATACTGAATATTTAATAGTTGACCGTTGCATTATAAAGAAAGGAGATGGTCCAGGGCAATCATAAATAAGCTAAATAATGTCAAAACTATTTTATTAAAAGCCAACGTTTTTACCCGACTTTGAAGGTCTTCTTCAGGGTTAGAACGGACAAGATACAAAAAGATATAGCGATTTTGTATCTTTTCCGTCCTAGCCCTGAAGAAGACCTGCAAAGTCGGGTCGAAACGTTGGCTTTTAAAAAAATAGTTTTGCCACTGTTTAGCTAATTTATGACGGCAACCCCAGACCATCTTTCTTTAAAAAAAATAATTTTTCGTTACTGTGAAATGGTTGGGCCTTAAGATAAGTCAATTGCAGACTGAAAACTATAACATTTTTCACGACAGACGAAGACTTCACCTCCCAGTTTCATTGAGTTGCGCGATAGCATGAGGTTATATTTCATAGTGAATTGATTGTGGTCGAGGGATCGAAAGTGTTTGAGACGTTATAACCGCTTTTTTTCATTATATTACTTGCCAATATTCTTACATTTAGCGTTCGGAGAAATGTAGTTGTTTAGCTTAGTAACGTGTTATAATTCATCTTAAACAACAGATTGCCTTTCTAACGCTTTTTAAGTTCATTTTATCTTAGCAAATAATCAGTTGAGTTGGACGCTTGGATGCATGCCGTCTATTAATCTAATCCATTAAATTGCCGTTGAACACCAAGTGTAGAACATCATCTTTTGTCGGAAATGATTTTCATAAAACCTCAAATATCTCTGTCGCAATAAAAAAAAAAAAAACATTAGTGAAAATACTGATTTTTTTTTATATCACTCTAGCGAAATCGCTAAAAATCATAAAATTCGCAATTCCGATCCTTTCATCAAAACAATAGAATATCACATGAAATGTCACAAAAATTTCCTTTCAAATGATTACATTAAATAAGGGGTAACACGAGCTTTTTTTTTTAAATATTTATGTTAGGTATTTCTGATTTTATAGATATTTCAAATATAAAATTAAATTTTCAATTAGTTGACAATAATATGTACTGTTTTGATAGACCAAGTGATTGAGAAAATTGCGATGTTTTTTTACTCGGGTAGTTGCATTAAAAGTATGATGTAATATACCAAAAAAAGTGATACATGACAACGATATTGTCAGTAAAAATTTGGGAAATAAAAATTTGTGTTTGTAGTATTAAAAATAGTTGGTTAAGACGATTGTTTTCTGAACATGCGCATTATATAGCTGCTCAATTGCAATCTTTAAGCTTAACAAAATTTAAGATGCATCAAAATTTAAAAATAAGCATATTATCATAGATATAAGGACAAAATCTTTCTTTGCTATTATATGAAATTTGATAATAATAGAGTATTTTTAGTTAATACATAAAATAAAATTGTAATTCTCTTTAAAATTAGGCAATTTGTTATTATTATCAAATTAACCGATATTCTCCAGGAAATAAAAGATGATTAGGGAATAGAGTCATATCATATGCGTGTGTATATTTGAAATAACCAAATTAACATCCATTTACAAAGAACTTGGAAGAACTTAACTTTCTTGCTATTAGCGTGACCAGTGGTCATGTCATAGTCCATGATCAGAATGGCAAGGGCTTTCCATGAAAAGAAAAGTGGAAGTGGTTTGAGACAGTGAAAAGAAAAATTCTTTCTTTAAACCCGCATACTTATGTTCCGAGTTTAGTGAAACTCTTTCATTGATCTTTGCTATGATATATAATTCGATAAGAAACGATTTTTTTTCATTCAGATATGTCTTTCAAATTAATTAAAAATTACCAATGTTCTCAATTTTGATTCCTTAATTTGCTGAATTTTGAAACGGATCTCACACTTTCCTTCTTAAAAAGCCATCTTATTTATTTTATCTGTAAGTAATTACTTAACATACATCCGAAGGTAACTTTTGTAAAACACGCAACTTCCGAAAGGCGTGTCTCCTAATTGGACGAGAACGGCGTGCACAGCAGATATGACAGTTAACAGCATCTGTAATATATATGGTATGAAAAGTCAGAAGTACAAGAAAAATTAGAATACATTTTTATTTCGGCATTAATTACAAAATTATTTATACAATAAAATTCAGTCATTGAGGTAGATTAAGCATCTTTTTAATGTCGTTAACAAATAAACTTTTAACATAGTTTACATTTGAAATGGTTTATTCTGTTTGTTTTTTGTATTTTCAAATATGCCATGTTTTTTTTTTTTTTAAACACGATCTTAATACCAAGACTAAAACAAGAGTCCTTTGAATGCCATAAAGATTTGTCTAAGGTTCTTTATTTTTATAATATTAAAGCATCTTACATATATCATGCAAAAAAAAAATTGATGAAAAATGAATAATTAACAATGTACATGAATGGGTGCAAATATAACTAGCATACCAAACACGTGTATTTTTCGCTTCCAGTTTAGTATTTTTAGAGGTAATTATGATTGACGTAAGGTGGTTTGAAAAAGGAAGGATAGAAAGAAATGCGAATTTCCTCTTATGTTCCCCTCCCCTCCGAAAAAGAGAGAGAGAGAGTGAGAGCGACATTTCGGCTATGTATCTGTCCCCATCAGAAGTATGGATAATCGCAATTTAAATGGAGTCCTTTAATTCAACTTAGATGCTTCAATTATATGCCAACAATTAAGAAGCTGTAAAGAAATAATGTAATAAAAAGCTTGAGTAAGATGGTATAAGCACCCTTTATAAATGCACCGCGGTAGCATGCGTGACGAGATATGCGTTTGCGACCACACTCACAAACATTTCACTGCGGTTGTTTACAAGAATTAGAACTCAGGAAGCCTAAAGAACCTTGGCAGGATATCAGGAGTAAAATGAACGGAAAGTACCCTTGTTTTGTTGTGTCAAATGTGACAGTGATCCTGCTCTCGAGAGTGCCCCGGCAGGATGCCAAACGATGCCCTCCAAACATTGACATTACTTTTATTGGTCTTTTATTTTTGCTTTTAACTTTCAGTGTATAAATATAATCAATAGAAAATACAATACCAGTAATAAATTACAAGTTGAATTTCTTAAATTGTATGTATAAGAAACATTCGTTGTTTTCTTTGATTGGTTTGTTAGGTTAATATTTATATAATAACTTCTACTCCTATTTCAATATAGCTATGTATATCCTTTCTCTGAAATCGTTAAGAATTGGTAAAGAGAAAGACTATTTTTTTTTAATATTATTAAAATTTACAACTGTATTAAATAATAAATACAATAAGTAAATATGAAACAAGTAACATGACATGTACTTAAAGAGAAACTACACATTAGTAGAACTCCAATTATATTTCTATATCAGAAGGCTCCGAGGCCATCTTCTTTTCAGACGCCTCGGAGGGTTACCAGGAATAGAGGAGAAAGCAAGGTTGGAAACAAGAGGGTTCCGATGGTTCAGAAATTTACTATGGAAGGACAGGTATCTGGATTGAGCTAAATCGGAATTATATGATACATTAAGGTCTTTATGGATGATTTTATTTGTGACAAAGTAGGAACCATTGAGGATTTTACGAAGACTTTGGGATTGTAGGGATTGGATGTGAGAGGAATTTGTTAGTTCAGTAGAGTCCCAAAGCTCGATTCTGTATGTTCATAGGAATTTTTATACGAATATAAATGAGTCTTTTGTATATATTTGGAAGTTTAAAGCGTTTGTCTAGTAAGTGCTGCAGTAGTCGAAAACGTCGTGCGGTTTCTAGTCGTTCCCGTCTGGTATGGCGGTTCCAATTAAGTGGTTTGTCCAGGTGGAGTCCTAGGTATCGGATTTCTTCAACAGATATAAGTGGGCTATTATTGAAGGGTACTGTAGAACAGGAAATCGTAGGTTTACGTAGGTAATTTGATGGGATTTATTTTAATCCTCCTGTTTTGACACCATTTTTCAAGACATGTGATGTGTGATTGAATAGGTTGGGATGTAATAGATAGATCGTTATTAACTGATTAGATAAACGTGTCATCGGCATAGGTGGTGATGACAGTGTTGGATTGGGTTGGGATGTCAGCTGTATAAACTGTGTAAAGAATAGGATCTAGGATACTACGTTGAGGAAAACCGGCAAACTGAGTAAAAATAGACGAATAAGCATTGTTATGTTATTTACTTTGAAGTATCTGTCAGTAAGGTAGGAACGGAAAATTTTGAACATTTTAATTCAAATTTCAATATGTATAGAATGATGTACTAAAAAAAGAATGTAATGAGTAAAAAATTAACAGTTAACTAATTAACAATTTTCCGTTTGATAGATTCCATTATTTCTTTGCTATTAGTTTCCGATGCATTTTTCAAGTATTGAAGGATAGTAAATTTAATTTGACTCCCTACAGCATGGAGATCGTTCTATTTCCGTTTCTGATTATCAGTACAATGAAATATTCAAGTCTTAACTATCAACCAATTTTAATGTGTCCTATTTCGCTTATTTTAGTTTTGTTTTTTGGGATGAAAAGTCAATTCAATCGTTTGTGAAACACTAATTCATTCCCAATTTTTTCTATCTATCTTCTATAATCATTTCCATATTGTTGGGTTGACAAAATTTTAATTGATTATTATTTTAGGATCTACCTAGAATAGCCCTTTTTTAGTATATATTTATTTTATTCTCTTGGTTTATATCTAGTTTTTCATTTTAAAACTTTTCCCTTAATTCATTTCTCATGGTGTACAGATTAGTAAAACATTGTTCAAACAAATAGTTGCATCTAAATAGTATTTGTTGTCAAGTTGTATAATTTATTATCAGCATCGCTTCGGTAAGCAACCTGTAGAGCGATGGATAAAAACAGTAATTGCTTTTGTGTTAGTGCTTAAGAAACTAAGCTGTTTATTTCTTTCATGAGCCACTTTTCGTTATTATTTGCTTGACCATGTAGTGTAAATTTGAGTGACATATAAATGTTTTAATATCTGACTGTATTGTTTATTCTTTGGCAAATTTCCAAAACTTTTTGATTTATTTAGAAAACCTTTTTTCGATGAATAAATTTACTCGTTCCTAAGAAATAAAATTATCTTTATGTATAAAGATAATAGTGTTTCTTCAATTAAAAGTAATATTCTATTTATGGTTTTGCAATTCACGAAAGATGGGAGTATACCGCAATTATTTTTTATCAATTTTGTTTCAATTAATTACTCAGTAATAAGACAAAAACAAATCAAATCGTAATGCTGCTTAACTGTGTCGGATTGTTAACCGACCCACCGACACAGCACAGTAATATATTTTTTTTAAATTATTTTTTTATCCCTTTACTCGGCATACAGGCTGTTCGGCAGCAATGGATCAATACGTTGGGATTCTCGTATGGCCACTACTGCCAATAAACTACTCTTTATTGATAATTTTGTATTGGAACATCATTGATGATTTATTATTTAATTTAGGGAACATAATATTGAACTGCGGTGTGTTCCAGTTTAGTACGCCCACACGGCATACTAATATATCTGATTGATAATACTTCGTAAAAGAATTCAGAAAGTGTAAAATTTTCTTCTTTTTTGCTTGCCTTTTATGATATACGAGATATCACCGGGCCAGGTGGTGAGAGCGGGGATTAATGCCAGAATTAAGAATTTTCGTTGGCTATGTGAACCGAACTAGTAATTTTTTTCCCTTTAAACTTCGGTATCAGCTTGCTGAACAACACACGGTGCAGTGTACAAGCGTTAGCCCGCTCGGCCACCCCGCTTCCATAAAAACATCATTCTTCTGTTCGTTCTTTCCTCAGCCTAATTCTGCTCAATTTTGTATTCAGCAGATTCCATAGAGCAACGATCAGCAATAATAGATGTGACAGCATTAATGTTCAAAAATAGGGTTCAGTTAAGGTGTCATTTACAAAGCGGACTGTCCCAAATCGGATATTTTATAAATACGAAAAACTTTTTACCAAACTGAAAACAAGAATTACTTAAAGAACATAAATCCAATTTTAAAAATATAAACTCACAGCGCTTTAATTTCGTAGGAATAGGTTATTCCAAAGATCAGATAAATATAATCAATAAAGAAGATAATCAGAGAATTCTTGTTGAAGTGACATCTTACCGATGTTAGACTATTAAAAATATTTGACCATTATTAATAGATTTAATCCAGAGATTTGAGAACAACCGTTTATACAAGAAGTTCTTTTTAAAAGGATATTATACACCAAACAGTTGCTCCTCTATTTCATTCATTATTTTATCAAAGTTCATAGTGGCTCCCAGCGTCTATGACTATCGACGTGAATATCTTTTCCACTAATAATACTTTCCAAGGCAAATGATTTTCCTCAATTTCATTAAACTACCGATGCAGTTATAATAATATTTCATGTAGGCTTAGGTAATAAGAGAATAAAAATATATTTATTAATTAAACCAAAATAAATTATTTAAATCACGAAAATATAAATTTATGCACGATTCGGATATCATTTTTTTTTTTTTTTACAATCTTCTGCAAGTGATGTATGCAATTTTAGATTTTATAACTGAAAATTGGGCGATATTTATGCCAAGTTTGAAAAAAAATCTAATAAATCTAATAAGCGTCAAGATCGTAAAAAAACAGAGAGGCAATAGTCCAAACAGTAGAGTTCAATCAGTTGATGCAATAATAACATGATTTGGTTATATTAGATTAAAAAATATATATAATAATAATCGTACTTGGAGGCTCTAAAACTAAATACCAATTGAAAACCGCACATCAGAACTTTGACCCGATTGCAATAATTTCTTAACTAGTTACGGTATGAAAGTAAAAATATATTTTGAGACTATGATACCTAGATCACAGTAGTTTTTCAGTCTGGATTATAAAAAATGTAAACAAAAGGTACATCCTAGGTCTTCCAGAACTGGTATTTCGAATAGAAGAATGATTTAACGTTTTTAAGGTGGTACATTCACATGGTTGAAAACTATTGCAATACTAACATAGATTTTTGAAAAATAGTCGGAGGAGGGATCCTGATGGGCGAAAAACAATCTCTAAGGGCCTCAGGCCTATCATGTTCCAGTGAAAGCTAATGATCTTTTAATTAGTCTCTATCTATAATATATGAATTTATATATATATATATATATATATATATAAGTTATGGTTAGATGTAAGTTGATATATTATTTAATCCTATTCAACAGTTGTAAACAAACCGTAATGATATATATATAGCATTACGGAGAGAATAAAGTCAGTCTTATTTGAGCAACCACGTGTTTTATTTCGGACCTTTTCTTTCTTTTTTTTTTTTTTATCTTTTCTTGTTCGAACAGACGTAAGTGGTGCCGAAACCCGGGAGGTTTAAATTTAATTGTGAAGTTGTTTTTTTTTTCTCTTTTTTATTCACGTCATGGAAATAATTAAAAGAAAGGATGCCGAACGGAGTAGGTCAACCGCCAGTACCGCCTACACCACAGGTAGCACAGCCGACTGCGCCACCGGCGGCACCGTTGGCTCCACCGCCAGCGTTTCCTCCGTTGTCAGAAGCGTTAGCGAGGGATCTTTCCTCCGCTACCTACTGAAACATTAGCATCAGCACATGCGACGACGTTGGAATGGCTGAAAGTGAGAACGGCGACATCGCAGGACCTGAGGAGAGCTATATCCGATTTAGAAAGATTTGATGGAGGAGTAGGTGAGTTGAATCACTTTCTAAAGGGAGGCGATCGGGTGATATCGCGTATATCGGCTAAAGAAGGGGAGAACTTAATAGATCCGCTGGATGCCAACGCATTGAGGGCAGCGTTGGTATGCCGGGTTAAGAGGAGCGTGTTGAATATGATTCAGGCGGATGAAGATACCCCATGGAACACCGTGAAGGATAGGCTGAAGAAGGCATTTGGAGGAGGCCGCTGGGCTCCGGAAGAGGACATCTTGCAGATGTTTCGGGAGAGGAAACAGCCTTATCAGACCAACGGACAATATGCCGCAAACCTGTTGGCACGATTTAATAAAGTAACTGAGAAGACGAGGGAGGTAGCTGATGCGGCGGAAACAGGAGCAAGGATGGCGTTCTTGTCAACCATCCTTAAAGTCCAGCTGGGTAGAGACACGGGAAAGAGGGATGGACTACCTAGAGACAAGAGTTTTGTGGAGTGTGCCCAGGAGATGATTGATGCAAGCGCGCGGGAGGAAGAAGCAGCCAGGGGAGAAGAGGAGAATGAGAATGGGTGGAAGCGAGTATCGTACAGGAGAGCAGAAACCGGAAGATTTAAAACGAGACAGGAAGGCTGGAAGAAAAGAGGAGGAGAAGTTAGTGCAAGAGAAAGAACGGCAATGAGGGAGAAAAAGCCAGGAAAGGAAAGAAGGAAATGGACAAAGGAGGACAGGAGATGCCACGGGTGCGGAAAGATAGGTCACCTAGTGGCGAATTGCCCGCGAACCCGATGTTTCGAATGCGAAACTGAGGGGCACATTGCCAGACAATGCCGTATATGAGTAGACGGGGAGAAGTGGGCCGAGATGAGCCGATGGAAGTGAACGCCCAGAGATTGTGGAGGAAGAGAGGAGCGACATCGGAGTCGGACGATTCGTCGGGAACATCTGGAACCGAGGAGGAGGAGCCGGTGGTAAGAGGAGCTCGAGGAGGCAGAATTAGCAGAAGGAGTGGAGAAGGAGGAGCCGTTGCGGACAGGAGAGGAAGATCAGACGAATGAGGAGAGGAGCAGAGAAGAGGCAGCCACGTGGTAGTAAATAATATTGGAGGTGAGTGCGTTGGTTTGCCAATTATAAGTGTTGTGGGGAAGGGAAAGTGTCTGGTGGACACGGGAAGTTCTAGTACAATAGTATCTAGACAGATGTTGGAGGAGTTGTGTAAAGGAGAGAGGATACCGAGAATAAAAAATTGTAGGTGTAAGTTGATTACTTTGGGTGGTCCATGTAGGGTAGAAGGGGAAGTAGAACTAGATTTAGACAGATGGGTGATAGGAAGCGGGAAGTTGAGGGTTCATGTAGTGGAGAATATGCCGAGGGAATACGGGGGTATAATAGGATGTGACCTATTGAGTAGAGTGAGACCAACAATAGATTACAGGGGAACGGGTTGGAGGGTGAGAATGGGAGGGAAGAGGTACCGGTGTAAGAAAGGGAGAGTGGGAGAAAAAGGGAACATTGGGGCAATAGAACAAGCGGAACATTGGGTACAGAGGATAAAGAGGGAATACGCGGATATTTTTTTTAAAGAGGGGAGGTGTTGAGCGCAACAGGGAGGACGGCACATGAGATTCCGTTAAAACAGGAAAAGGTGACGTACGTGAAGGAGCGACGTTACCCACAGGCTTTACGTCGCCATATCAAGGAGGAGCTAGAAAGTTTGAAGAGCAGGGCATCATCGTGGACAGCACGTCACCATACAATAGTCCCCTGTGGGCGGTGAAGAAAAAGACGTCGTCGGGAGAGCAGAAGTACAGAGTGGTGGTAGACTTCAGAAAGCTCAATGACAACACCCTAGACGAGAAGTACCCGCTTCCGCGATTTGATGATATTATTGACAGACTTAGTGGGGCAACCATCTTTAGTACTTTGGATCTAAAGGCGGGCTACCACCAAATTCGTATGAACCCCAGGGACCAACACAAAACGGCGTTTTCTTTCGAGAGGGGGCATTACGAGTTTACTCGGATGCCATTTGGTTTAAAGAACGCTCCCATAACTTTCCAGAGGTTTATGGACGAATTCTTGAGAGGATTAGACGAAGAATTCTGTCAAGTATACATGGACGATCTCTTGGTTTTTAGCATGGATGAAGAGGAACACATCGATCATTTGGGGCGCGTATTCGACAGATTAAGGCAATGTGGGTTGAAATTATCGGCGGAAAAGTCGATTTTGGGACAGGACCAGATAACATTTTTGGGACATTCCATTTCTAAGGAGGGGATCAGGCCCGATAAACAGAAGGTCGAGGCAATACAAAATATGGCGATGCCCAGGGATGTAAAAGGGATCCGCAGGTTATTGGGGACACTAAACTATTACCGTCGGTTCGTGCCGGAAATGGCGGAGTATTTAGCACCTCTTAATAACCTTCTGAAGAAAGGCCGGAAGATAACAATAACGCCAGCAATAGAGGACAATGTAAGGAAGTGCATGGCGAGGTTACAAGATAAGCCGGTACTCGCTTTTCCCGATTTTGCGAAGACGTTTATCATCACTACGGATGCGAGTGAGTATGCGTTGGGGGCAGTACTTGCTCAAGAAGGAACTAATGGGGAACAACCGGTAGCATATGCAAGTCGGCGGCTTACAGACGCGGAAACGCGGTATAGCGCCCTGGAGAGGGAACTCTTGGGCATAGTATGGGCAGTAGGACATTTTAGACCGTATATTTTTGGCAGAAAATTTAAGGTTCATACCGATCACAGACCGCTGCAATGGGTTGGTAATCTGAAGGAATCGTCAGCAAGGGTCACTCGGTGGAAGCAATTTCTAAGCCAGTACAATATGGAGGTCATGTACAAGCCGGGTAAGGAAAATGTGGTAGCGGACTGGCTGTCCAGAGCCATCATGATAAATGCCATCGAGGAGGAAGAAGGGGAGTCGTCGCGGGACGTGCTGCAGTTTTTGAGAGCGTGGACACCGGAAGGTGAAGGAGAACCCGGGGATGCGAGAACAGAGGAATCGAGAGAAGAGAGCTCGGTGGACGAAAGGCCTACAGACATGGAGGAATGTGAGGAGATCATCAATGACAAGCGACGACAGGTCATTTGGAAGACCAGAACGTCGGGGCTTATGAAGATCGACTTCAGTAAATATGGGAAGAAGAAAATTAACACCATTTGGTCCCAACCAGGGGTGAAAGAAGAGGAGATGTGTAAGGCCTTGCACGACGCTTCGGAGTCGGGAAAAATTCACCATTTGTACGTGGGCAATGCGACCATCTGGGAAAAGATCAAGAAACTCTGGAGAGCGGAGAAAATAGGCGTCGATAGGTCATTCATTAGATGCAAATACTTAGTTGAAACGATAATGGACAGGGAGCAGCAAAAGGAGGTAACGCTAGCACATCACCAGGGCAAGACCAACCATCGGGGAGAACAAGAAACGTTTCAGGCACTGCGCAGAAGATATTTCTGGGATGGCATGAGGAAGACAATTTCAGAAATCATTGGGAGATGCGAAGTGTGCGCGCGCACTAAGTATGATAGACGCCCACCTCAAGGATTACAGGAGGAAACCCCTACGGGAGATATGCCATTGAAAGATGTGCAAATCGATACATTCACGTGGAGGGGGTTTAAGTGGATTACAATGATCGACCTCTTCAGTAAGGTAGCGATGACACATCGAGTACAAGATAAGTTGTCGGAGGCTGTTGTGGGGGCTCTACAAACGTGGGCCCAGTTCTACGGAGTGCCGGATCGCATAACGTCGGACGGAGGGAGGGAGTTCGACAACAGTACCGTACGTGAGGAGGCTAAACGATTAGATATAGTTTGGCACTTTAACACTCCGGAACATCCAAAGGGCAGAGGAAATATCGAAAGGTTGCACAGCACTTTAAGCGACCACCTACGTATTTATCAAGGGGAGCAGGGATTGGAAGCGGATGTAGCCATGAAAAGGGCAGTAGCAGCCTATAATCATTCGATCCACTCCGTTACAGGGTTTTCTCGGGTCGAGGTATTGTTCGGAGTAAATATACGGCGACGGGATTGGACGGAAACACTCACGGACGAAGCACGAGCTCAACAGATCACTTGTAACAGAGCAGAGATAAAGAAAGTGTTGGAAAAAACGAGAGGGAAAATAGAGAGAGAAAAACGGAAAAGGGTGGAGAAGGTCAATTTGAACCTCAAAGACAGAATGGGGGAATTGAAGATAGGGACGACAGTCTATCGTAGGGTCGGATCTAATAGGGGGAAGGAACTGGCACGCTACGAAGGACCATTCAAAGTGATTATACTTCGCGAACACAATCTTTGTACAATTCAGAGTCTGAACGATCCCAGGAAACGGAGGACCGTTCACATAGAACAGTTGAAACTCCCGATAGAGGCGGGGTCAGTAACGTAATTAAGTGGTATATCCTCTTTTCTGTCTCCTACAAGCTATGGAAGGACGGTAGAAGGTTTATTTCAGTTTGTGGCTCTTTTATTGCAAGAAATGTTTAATTTTATTTGTTTGTACTATTGCTGTATGGGAACGCCAAGGAAGATTATTTTGTTTTGTTGTTTTGTTTTGTTATGTATTATATCAGTAACCCTGCATTAGTTTATGAGGAGTGTTCATAAACTGGCGGGGGGGAGTTATGGTTAGATGTAAGTTGATATATTATTTAATCCTATTCAACAGTTGTAAACAAACCGTAATGCTATATATATAGCATTACGGAGAATAAAGTCAGTCTTATTTGAGCAATCACGTGTTTTATTTCGGACCTTTTCTTTCTTTTTTTTATCTTTTCTTGTTCGAACTGACGTAAGTTATATATATATATATATATATATATATATATATATATATATATATAATATATATATATATATATATATATATATATATATATATATATATATATATATATATATATATATATATATATATGTTTGTATTTTATTCATATTTTTCCTTACTTTTAGGTATGCAAGGATTTCCCATCTTGGCTGCTGAACCAAATGGTCTTCCATTGGAGTATAAGATCCTGCCTGAGTACCTTCAGGAACTGGGCTACAGGACGCACGCCGTCGGGAAGTGGCATTTGGGGTTCTTCAAGACCAATTATACGCCGCTACAGAGAGGTTTCGAGACACATTTGGGCTATTACACGGGATATACCGGCTATTACGATTACATGGCGCAAGTTAGGGTAAGTTATTTTTATTTCCCCTTACCTATATATAAAATATATAGTTACAAAAAGTACGCTTCTTTATCAAGAAAGACGTTAACTGAAAGTGGTGTGATGTGCTCACCTTGAATGATTTTTATTTTTTTTTTATTTTACGAAAGTATACTAGAAGTAGGAACAATTTAAAAGAATGCAGTAGTAGTTATTAGAATTGGAACAGTGGAATTGTTGATTCCTGGATTTCGTAAGACAATATATCTGAATAATATGAACTTAAAATAAGGACAATTTTAAATATTTAAATAATATTGAATATTTAATAGTTGACCGTTGCATTATAAAGGAAGGAGATGGTCCAGGGTGGCGGTCATAAAAATGCTAAATAGTGGTAAAACTATTTTTATTAAAAGCCGACGTTTCGACCCGACTTTTCAGGTATTCTTCAGGGAGGTGTGTTCAGCTAAGAGTTTCACTTAGAACTGAAACTCCTAAGTGAACTCAGTTCTAAGTGAAACTACTAGCTGAACACGCCTCCCTGAAGAAGACCTGCAAAGTCGGGTAGAAACGTCGGCTTTTAATAAAAATAGTTTTACCACTATTTAGTCTTTTATGACCGCCACCCCGGACCATGTCCTTCATTTAAATAATATGCACGCATACTTTGCTAAGTTTCTGACTATCAGGTTTTCTACGGTGTTACTTTATTTAATATAGGTATTATGGTTAGTGCAGTAAAATATTGTACTTCTATCCAATTCCGGAAGTAAAACGATCTATTTAAAAACGTAATATTCATTTATTTAATATAAATAAGACAAGCTAATTATCACAAACTCCTCTGCTGTAATATGCAAGAGTTATAATTAATTTCACTTTTTTTTCTCATAATACCAATTTTCTAATTTTTTTTTTTTTTTTGTCCTTCCGTTCCTCGCGTTTTAAGGCTATACGGGGGTTTTCCTAGGCCAGCGGATGATGGCGGGGATTTAAAAGACTCCCGGCATCGGGTCTCGAACTTGTGACTATTTTTTATCACAATCTTGTATATTAGGTTGCCTGGCAACGGCGGTGCAGTGCACACGCGTCAGCCCATTCGGCCACCCCGCCCACCCAATTTTCTTATTTAATCTAAATGATGAAATGCAGGAAAGTTAGATGTGGAAGGAAAGGAAGAGATGTGAAAGAAGGAGTCACATAATTATGTCCCTCCCCCTTATTAAATATGTACTAGTTATGGTCCTGGATGGTTTTTTAATACAGTAGCACTATATGGAAAATAAATTAAATTCATAAATTTCTATTAGAAATCACTTAAAATTATCAAACATAACTTTTAAAACCAGTCGCTTTAAATGCATTGAAAAACCAAATAAACTAATACAGCATGAAGTATCATAGATAATGGACAAAATTATTTGAAAAGAAACTTTTAATTACTTAAATATATAGTTAGATGGAGACATTAGCTCACATTTTCCAAATAGTTTTCTCGTAGTTTTATAAGATAATTCTTTATTCAACATTACATCCATTAGTAATTTAATAAAATAAACATTAAATATTTATTCCAAACTAACATCCGATAGTACTTGTAAAGTATTTACATACGAAGGGTACAAATGAATAATTAAGCAGATGAAGCGCGGCCTCTATATATAGTGATTATAAGCTGTTTTAACTGCCATTTAATTCATTTAAATTGATATCTACTATGATATTGACTATAGTGGTGAATAGTTCCTTAACGATCTACTTCAAATGACGCAACTAGTGAACGAAAAAGAACTGTGAGGACCGGTATTACTTTTGATGAACCATGGTTCTTTGTGAACTATAGTTCTTTGTACTACCACTAAAATAAAATTCGAAGAATTTTAGGTGTTTTATTGAGGAAATGTTAAGAGAAGGCCAAGGCCTATGGTCCATACACTGAAATAGAGATTAAAAAAAAACAATTTGATTTCCTCGAAAATAACTTTTGATTATCGTATTTTTAATATTAAGTAAGATAAAATACTAAAGCAGAAGTCACGGACAAACTATTTTTGGAACATGTTAATATCTCAAAGGATGAAAAAAGAAATGTTTCGTTCCTTTAGTTTTTAAAACTCTAAACATATACCAAAAATACGAAATGAATTATGAATTTTATTAAATATTATCGATCAGAAGTCAATTATGCAGATGGTTATTACATTAGTTTACAACTGTAATTAATAATAAATACAACAAGTAAATATGAACAAGTAACATGAAATGTACGACATGAAGAGAAACTACCCATTGCTAGCACTCCAATTATATTTCTATATTAGAAGATCCCGAGGCCGTCTTCTTTTCAGACGCCTCGGAGAGTTATCAGTAATAGAAGATTGGCAAAGTTGGAAACGAGAGGGTTCGAATGGTTCGGAAGTTTATTATGAAAGGACAGGTGTCTTGATTGAGCTAAATCGGAAACATATGGTACATTAAGGTCATTATGGATGATTTATTTGTGACAAAGTAGAGAGCATTAAGGATTTTACGAAGGATTATGGATTATAGGGATTGGATACGAGAGGGATTTGATAGTTTAGTAGAGCCCCAAGAACATATTTAATTTGGAGTAGATGACCTCACTGATCTAGTACCACCCGTGTTACAATAGATGGCACCAGTTGTAGTTCATTTGAACCAGCTAGTTCACAGTTCACTTAGGAATCCCAATACATAAAGGAACTAATTTAGTTTTCTAGTTCGATGAACTAGCTAGCTCAGAAGATTGAAACCTCTCCCTTTCTTTATAGCTCAATAGATCCCTAGTTGCAATTTAATTTAGAATGGTTTGAGCCTTATATCATTCTTATAACTAATAACAATTAATTACTTGCATTGCCGTTTTTATTGTCCTTTTCATTTCATAACTCGTGGTCAGACTAATCTTGATAATTTAATAATATTTCATAGGAGGATGACAGAAAATTTTAGATCGTTTTGGTTTTAATTTTCAAATATTGAACAAAAATTGTTAATACGTTATAAATTATGTATAAACTCTATATATAATATATAAAGAAAAATATACATTTTTTTTTCAAAAGTTTCATTATACTACTCATATTTCATAGTAATTCTATTAGATCCCGTTCTCTTCAACGCGAGGGCCCGGTGAACATGGAGCTGCTTCATTTTTGGTCTTTAAGCGCCAATTAAATACTCAAATTTCGAAAAAAACGATTCAAATTTCTCTTGAAATTTTAAATAATAATAATAATTACCATTTGTAAAGACAGTAAAATCGAATTGGAATCGGAACTAAGTGGGTTGTTTAAGAATTCAAAAACTGTAGCGCTCTTACTCAGTCTACACTAGTCCGTGATACAGACCTGTACAATACAGACCCCCTTTTATCGAATTATTAACATCCGCCTGAAACTTCGTAAATAGTTTCATCTCATCGTAACCAACAACTATTATATTTACGAAAACTCTTGGTATTGGGGCGTTTTCAATCCGAAGGGGGGCCAATTTTGTCTATTTAATTAGGTACACAAAATCCATAAAAAGGTGGTCTATAAAAATATTTCCCGTTTGCCCTATATAACCTCGTTATTTTGAAAATTAGGGGTGTATGTCACGCCAAACGGCACAAAATTTTTGAAGACCGCCTTTTTTTCTCGATTTTGTTATCAAATTATCTTACGATAATGTAGAAATCAAATGGGTATTTACGAGTTTTAAGCAACTAATTAAATCGACTAAGTTTGCCCTCCCCCAGATTGAAAACGCTTTTATTCAAAGAGTTCATAAATAAAATAGGTGTAGGTTAGATGAAATTAGATGAAACTATTTACGAAGTTTGAGGCGGATGTTAATAATTCGATAACTAACTACTTGATTTTAAAGAGTGATGCGGCTGGGAAAGAACAAGTGGGATATCTCTCTAAGCCTTGCTTTGCCTTTCATATGAGAGCGGCAAGGCATGTTAGGGTTTTTTATATCGACGGTTTATTTCTAAAATCTTGTAGGTCCAAATCACTTAAATGCTGCATTAATTTGAGTAACTATAGCATATAATTATTACTTATAATGTGAGGCATTATGTTTTAAAAATTTAAGGGATTTATTAAAAGATAAAAATATGAGAATAAGCGAGAATTTACTTTTCTCTAAGAGAAAAATATTTTTTTAGTTTCTCCGTAATTCACTTCTTCTTTTCGTGTTCATAAAAGGCTAAAGACGTAAGCAAGAATCTATCAGAATCGGATTTATATTGATGTAAAACAAATAAATAAATGATTACACAAGAGGTTTTACAACATAAGTTAAGTGGTAATTAAATTATTAGTTCTAATCTTTAGTGAATATATGCCCTAGGACATATTTGAACGAGATTATTGAGAGAAGATATTGATTTTATAATTGCATTTAAAGTATAGGAAACCCATGTTAAATATGCAAATGTAGAAGTTTCACGGGAACAATTAGTCGCAGTTGGAAAATGCATTAGCCTAATTATTATCGATTACTTGTAAAACCGATGATTAACCCTGAGGTTCAGAGCTCACATTGGTAAATAAAATATATTATTTATGAGCTTGCAATGTATACAAAAAATAAAAATAAAAAATAATATAGAGTGTAAAAACTTTTGAAAACCAATAAAGAGTATTTTATACAGCCTATTTTTTTTTAGTTTATTATTTTTTTAAATATTTTAAGTGGCTAGCTTTCGTAGGTAAGTAAGTAGATATCTTTTCGATGTTGAGTAAGATCAATCTATATTAGTGAGGTATACATTGTTATAAATTTTCTTTTATTTATTAATTTATTCTAATCGTTCAGCTCTCATAGTGTCAGTTGTTGTGTAACATGGTTATTCCATGAATGAATAGCATTGTTCGTTAAATTTATGGAACCAGAGTGTGCTAAAAATTATTTTAAAAGTTTTCCGATGGATCATTAAAGGCCAAGTCCCTACGGTAGGGCCTGCAGCTCACAGTTTGACAGTTCTAAAATAGATCTTATTTTAACGGGCTACCCTTGGTCATTAAAAAAATATATATAAAAAAATAATCTAATCCGTCATAGCTAAGAACCATCATTTTTGTAATAACTGAATAAGATTCAGTGAAACTGATAAGGGTACT